CTAGCCCACTTAAATATTTGGAAAAGACAGACATAATATGTTTGCAAGTTTTAAGAAACCTGTAGAAAAATARTCCTACAATTCTTTGTTACTGGTCYTGTGTTAATAACTAAAATTCAAGAGGGAACTCTCAAACGCTTTGGTTGCGTCACATTCCGTAGACCGTGGAATGTTTAAAGGATTGAACTGTTGTCTGTCTTAAAACTTAAGATTTTGTATTTTCCCTCAGCACGTTACTTGTTGGTTTGGTTTTCCTTCATTATGTTTGTGATCTAAGAGGAGACATTTGAAATAAGGATTGAAATTTCTGTTTTATCTGTCTCCATCTCTGCAGAGGGGAYGAGTTTGTATTATTTTATTGTCTCTTCTATTAATGAGAAAAATAATCCACGTAGCAAAGATCTTACCCATCTTACTTTTAGTAGTTTGGAAAAATGGCTATTCCTTTAAAATAATGCTTTTAAATTTYGGCCCTGAGAGCCAGGATACAAAAYAYAGAAAAAGACTTTAATACAAGCAGTCTTTATCCATCTCACAGCTAGGTTCTGTAAAGATAACCTTTCACCAGAAAAAGTCAATTTTGTACATATATTGTCTTCTAGGCCAAAACCCAAGAAATCTGCTTTTGAAGTCTAAACTTTTAATAATTAAAAAAATCAAAACACTTACATATAAGGTGATAAAATCAAGTTTGTTCAGTAGCTGGAAGTTTATAAATAACAAAGATGTGGTGCCACTTGCACASTGGTTTTGTTTTGAGCCTCTTGGTTCCTGATTTGTTAACAAAAACCATATTCTCTGGGAATTTGATACTGCTGCTCTCRGGATGAATGAACAGGTTCCCTAAAAATGAAGTAAAGTTACTGGTTTCCTCACTAGCTCAGGCAGTATTTAAACCTAAGAAATACCCATCTAAATAATTTGGTAGGTGTAACTATTAACAATTAAATGCATTTGTTTTCAGGCATTCCTTAGTCCTGAAAATCCTGAGGAGCCCTATCTGGAAGGCATTGGCTTCAACTGTGTGGCTCCGGGCAAGCGCTTCATGCCAATGGACAGTTTGTCAGGAGGGGAAAAGACAGTGGCAGCCCTGGCTCTTGTGTTTGCCATCCACAGGTAAAGGGGATTAACCAGGGAAAAAARGGTTTATGGTGTTCTCAAGTATCAGATCAAGTAGGTGATAAGAGACAGTGTTACACACATATTAAAAAAAAATTGTGCTAATGGAGTATTCACACATTGCTGAAGTCTTATTCTTTATCTGTCATGACTTAATATATTAAATGTAGAATTTTATGTTAAGTAAAATATTAACTTAATTTGTTGTCTATTATTTAATGTTAAATTATACCTATTTAATTAAACATAAGAATAATATTGCAAAATACTATGAACACTTTTTATGGAGCAAGTAATTAGAATGTTAACATTTTGCTACCTCAGTGCAAAAATATTGTCTTGTCTTGTGCAGCTTTCGGCCAGCTCCTTTTTTTATTTTGGATGAGATAGATGCTGCGCTGGACAATACAAACATTGATAAAGTAAGGTGCTCTTCTATCAACAATATCTGATACCTTTTGTAGAAAGGTGGCTACATCCATTGCAGGATGTTGGGATACAGAGATTGACTAGCCTGACTTGAACCCATTTTAAATACAGATTGGATTTAGGGCTGAATAATAGTTACTCATTGGCACTGGTGCTTTTTCTTGCTTTATTCATTGGAATGAACCATTATTTTCTTAAATGTTTTCAAAAAGCAGCACATCTGAGGGGTTGTCTTTTACCATGCAAAATATCTATCTTTTAAAACTGGTGTGTTTCTCATTTTATCAATCTTACTTCATGATGGAATTCTCCAGCTAGCACAGTTCAATTCTTCCCTCACTATTCCCTAATCACAGCATTGTTTCAGGCTGCCAGAACTAACTGAAATACWTGGTTTCTTTCCAAAGGTCTCGAGTTTCATTAGAGAGCAGGCACACGAACAGTTCCAAATGATAGTTATTTCCCTGAAGGAAGAGTTTTACTGCAAGGCGGATGCATTGATCGGAGTGTGTCCTGAGGTAACAATGAATTTTGGTTAAATAATGCCTGTGGGGTTGTTGAAGTGCTGGGTCACACCTGAGGTGTTGCTCCTGTGAATCAGTCCATGGCTGGGTGTTCCAGCTCCAGGGAACATCCTTTGGGTAACTCGAGCTCAGTATTRTGTCTGATAGCTCTGAAATGCCTGTTCCAAGTACCAAAAGTGTGTTCAATGGTGTGATCCTCCCTCTTCTCAGCACGATGATATCATGTTCAGCCAAGTGCTGACCCTGGATCTTACCGAGTACCCAGAGGCAGAGGAGCAGGASACACCAGAGAAGCCCAGCCGTTCTTCTGCCTTCGAATAGAGCGTGGATGGTGGCAGGGCCAGGTGACAACCTGGAGCTGAGCTCAAAGCTCCCTGTTACAAAATTGAGTTTGAAGGTGGCTGTTGCAGGTTGACAGGGAAATGTTCTATTTTCAGATGAAACAGTTTTGCAGAATGTTAAGGGAATCAACTGTTAATCCTTGATGCAGTTTTGTTAAGGAGTCAGAGCCTGAGGCTGTTTCTGAGGTGTGCACACTGGTACCCAAAGCTTTCTCTCCAGATGTTGTGGGATGTTTTGGCTGTAAGATGAAGGGCTGCGGGTTCATTCCCGTAAGTGTAGTATCCCAAAGAAGCCTCTTGCTTTTCTTAGGAAAAGTCCATAGTGCCAGCACTCTGTTCACTTGCTGACTGCTCCAGTTGTAGCTGCATTTATTTGCCTTTAGAGAGGATTATTTCCTCCTTTTTAAAACAGTAAGGTACTGGAATGTGCTCCTTATCTTGGGGGACTTCTGTGACAACCAGAAAGGCTTCAGTCCTCCTTTGCAACCTTACACAAGTATTAGTTAACTGTACAAAAACTTGTGATGCAGTTCTCAAGCTGTGAGGTTAACCTTGAAAAATTTCACCTCTGAGGTATTTCACCTCACCAGTGGAAAGATGCTGTAGAGGCACCAGCATTAGAAAAATGTTTTGGTTTGTTATTATGCAGCTGTCCCAGTACACTCAAGTTATTTTGCTGGCCCTTTTTCATCTAAGTACCAAAGTTAATGAAGTTGGGTACCGAACACTGAGAGAGCTGGAATCACTGCATGTGGTTTATGTTCCACCTCTGTGTGTGCTGCAGAGCTTCCCTTGGTTTGTTGTTGTTCATAATAATTGTATCTTATATTTACAGAGATTTCTTTTGTTCGCTGGTTGCCTACACACACCTGCTTTGTCAACTGCTGTGAGCCTTGGGTGTGTGCTGGGCCTGTGGGGATCCTGCCTCAGGGAGGGAGCGTGTCTGAGCAGGAGCTGTAACATGTTTTGGGGAAATACAGATGTTCAGCAAATACTTGTGTTATTGCTGCACTTCACTGAATAAAGTGATTTATTCTGAGCCATGGGTCAGCATCAGTGCCTTAATTCARAATCCAGTGGCAGATGTAGAAAAGCCCTCATTCCTTTGCTTTTGAGAGCACACGAGATGGCCTTCGAGGGGAGACTGCTGGACAAGCAAGGGAATAATCACCAGTGGAAGGCTCCCAAAGGGAGGGATGGGGTTTACTACTGTGGACCCGACTTAAAGCACAGGATAAGGAATTGCATGACTTTGGGGTTTGAATAATGGTAGCAATCAGGGTCATAAATCCCTCAGTGCAAGTCATGGATTTTGCTGCAGCTTGAAGCAAAGGGTGAAGTGTTCTGAGCTGATCATCAGCATCCACAAGAGCCTGACTGGTCACTTTGCAAAGCAGCCAAGTCCTGCTGACTGCAGAAGCATATCATAGAGGGCAGTTCTCACTGTGCTCTATGTARTGCTGAAAGACAATTTTCAGATGTGATGTGGGTATAAATAGACACTCTCAAATAGGGTGGGTGTGGGCTGCCTGAAGGTCTGCAGAGCATAGCAGCATCTCAACAGTGCACATCACTGAATCCTTTTGTCCCAGGGAACTGAAGGAAGTGGTTGGGGKACAGGGGAATGAAGACCTGCCAAACCACAGTTCAGAGGGAAAGGTCACCTCCCAGACCCACCCTTGTCCTCCCTGTAAAATCCCAATACTGTGTGACATGGGCTCAGAAGGTGTAACAGAAATCCTTAGGATACAGAGGCASGGAAACCTGACAGGAGCAATCCTTCAGGCACGAAAACCAGCCCTGGACATGCTCTCCTGCAGACACTGAGGTGAGAGCCAGCTGACTGGAACACTCCATGGGATCATCAGTGCTGGTGATTACCAGCTGCAGTGGGAACTCTGTCTTGGTGCCAAGATGACACAGGTGGGGCAAGTACGAGATTCTGCTGGGCCTCACCTGTACCCTTGGAAGGCAACCTTGCACACTAGGGATTGTCTGCAGCTGGATCCTTTGGTACTGACTGGGTTTCATTCCACTGCAGCAGGACASTGT